CAAGGAGACCAAGAAAAGGGCCATCACCAGTTAGAAAGGACAACCTTTGGTGGCAAAGGGTCTGAACAGGGAAAGTTTGACAGGCCTTTTGGGGTGACAGTGTCAGAGGATGGAGAGATCTTTGTCGCAGACCGGGGCAACCAGAGGATTCAAATCTTTACTCTACAAGGGACGTTTGTTTCTGAGTTTGAGACAGTTATATCCGGTGGACAGAACATCTCTCCCCAGACTGTGGCAGTAGACACAGAAGGGAACCTGTGGGTGGTGGGGAACCATGGGGTAGCTGACTTTGCTGTGCTGTACACCAGGGAAGGAAAGGTCCAGACAACAATCGACCTACAACAGACCAGGTGGTCCCGGGGGGTTGCCATAGACACCAGGAGGAACAACATCATTGTTACACAGACTAAGGGAGAGTGGGGGTTCTGCTGCGGAGAGGTGCAAGTCTTCAGGCCGGATGGGAAACTTGTCAGAACTATTGGAGAAGAGCAGGGGATGAAGAACCCGGAGTACATCACTGTGGACAGAAGTGGGAACATCCTTGTGTCAGACTGTGAGAACAGTTCCGTCTATGTGTATGATGAAGACACAAACTTCCTGTTCAGTTTTGGTGGTGAGGGAAGCAGAGAGGGTCAGCTGACCTATCCCCGTGGTATCTGTACAGACAGTTCAGGTAACATTGTGGTGGCAGACTGGGGAAACAGCTGTGTCCAGTTGTTTGACAGGAGAGGCAGGTTCCTCAAACACATCAACACGGACATGAGGCAACCATGGGCTGTTGCCATGGCACCACACGGACAGCTGATAGTGACTGACGATGCCAACAACACAGTCACAATTTTTCAGAGATATTAGACTTCATGCAGTGCCCTATCAGGAAACCATTACCCCACTGCAATAATGACTGATGCTAAAAATAATATGGTTATACTTTTTCATACCTACTAGGGACTGTACAATATTTACTGGGGAAAGGCCAAGGAATTTTTTTAGCTTGGGGGAAGGGCCAATGAAACTTTTTTTGAGCTGTGGGGAAGGCAATGGAAAAAAAAATTTGACCTGGGAGAGGGGGATGGAAAAAAAAATTAACCTGACCGTCTGATAACCATCCCTCCCCTAGGTAAATATTGTACAGTCCCTGACCTACATGCAGTGACTCTTGCCACAGTCAGTAACCAAAATATCTAATTTCTAATATGGTATATTTTCTAAGTGACATGAAACTTATCAAAGTGTGACATGAAAAATTTTCCATGAGATTGTAATTATGACCATTATGTGTATTTCCAAAATGAGCCATCTGAATCATCTAAAGTAGACTGTATTCATCATGATAAGTTCTGAAAATAAATGTAATCTTCAGTATATCAAAAATAATCGAGGGGTTCAAGAGTTTGAAGTCTGAAATAATCTATAGTAACATGATATGAATTAATACAACAAGCCATAATAACCAAGCCTGTCCAAAAGCTCAGGGCTGGAAATTTGACCGACTGGTACATTTTTCTATGTTTTCTATGAATTAAGAAGTACATTAGTCCTAGTATCTACATCAAGTTATTTGGAACATTGACTGTACTATTCAACTTCTACATGATTTTTCCATAAATACAAATTGCCACTGAAGTTTTAATAAAGATTGTCTTTTGTTTGTGACTCACTTTATCATAATATGATCAAAGGTACAACAGTTACATACCCATCATCCATATCATCAGGTTGAACAAGGTAAGGGGGGGGGGTATAAAGCAACCAAGCATAGCATGCCATGGTATAGTGGTCAGTTGCCTTGCTTCTGGTCAAGGGTCTGAATCCTGGCATAGCTTTCTATATTTCTGATTTGTATGCTACTGGAAGGTAGCCTGGAGCCCAGTAGTACAGCCAAGATCCGCCCCTCCACCAACTGTTGGCAGGGTACTGGTAGATCTTGGGGAGCAGGCCAAAGCTAACAAGGCTGGACTCCAGGCTAACTGGTAGGGGTTATCGTCCTTCAGATGGGATGTTAGGCCAGGGGTCCCATGTTTGAGGAGAGAAAAGTCTCAAGGACAAAGAGACAACCAAACACATTAATAATCATTGGTGCATGCACTGATGTTAGTGTACAGGCACAGGTGCAGGTCTGGGCCTGTACCTTCGGGAACAATTCGACAAGTGGATCATTCAATATAGCACCATGGGATCTCTGCAAACCCTCTTTTTACCAAAGCTATTTATAAAACGATCTGACTATCAGACTACAGGTTCACGAAATGAAAAAAAACTCAGTTCATACAGACAATGAAAATACATTGCAAATATTATCAAAAATTTCAGTTTTATAAAATCATGCTCCCATTACGTGAAACGAAGAATTTAGAAAAAGTGCTTACATGCAAAATACACACTGGCATTACTAGTATTGCCCTCTATCTCTACGTAATGTGGGTCTTGCACAACACTCGCATCTAGAATGACTCATGCAGTCATGATTTAGGTTTAAAGTAGCCGTGGCGACTCTTGATTCGGGCTTACATTGCATTACCCTCAGCAAGAGTCGTGGAAAGATCCATTGGCAGAACTGGCTGCACATTTCCCGTTGGCTGCTCGATGCCCCGTTTTTGACCCGGTTTTTTGCTGTTCCGAGCTTCCCTACAATATAACTCCACAATTGGCCGGGTTGCCGATGTTCAGATCGGCCCAAATATTCCACAGCGCGACCAAAAACTACCTAACCTCACTTATTTACGCTCCGCGCGGCCATCTTGAATATAGTCGGGAATGTCCGGTGCTGTCGCGGCGGTGCAGTCGTCGGGAACGCTCGGCAGGCTTTCCGGTTATGATCGAAGAGTTTTCGGTCGCGCTTCGGTAATCGTGACGCTTCCGAGCGTTCCCGACGACTGCACCGGACATTCCCGACTATATTCAAGATGGCCGCCCGGTTCGAAACACAGAAAAGTTCTCGATAATGATCAGGGGCAATATATACATGTATGTAATTCTTGATGTGAATTGTTAGTTTATCGTTCATGCATACAAACAGCCCGGCCGGGCCCCGGTTCGGAAATGTGACCAAGGCATAAGGTGGCAAGCAAAACTGTTGAAAATGAAAACAGTCGTTAGTTGACAGGAAACACTGAAAAGTTCCCAAGAGGACATGTGTACAGAGAGGCAAAGTTTGGTTGCATAATCAGTACGGGAAGCCGCGTCCAAGAGACATGGAAATTCGCACAAATCAGTCGCAAGTTACTACATCCATTGTTTTGCTTCTTGTAGATCAGGGTTATGGTCAGAGTTAGGGTTAGGCTATAGGGTATATCCACACCGGAGGGTCCATAAAGAACAGACATTTTTCTATATCGGGATATAAATTTTTTTGTTCCTTATATCCACACCGGGTGTGAATATAAGGAAGAAAAAATCAAATCCACATCGGGTGTGGATATAAGAAACAACATATTTTTATATCCACACCGGGTGTGGATAAACTATCATATATTAAAATATGATTTGTACCCCCTGCAGATCAGAAATGGAATATTCCAACTGTGACCATTCTACTGCAGGCACCCTGGAAAGGCGATGAGCTGTACTGAACACTCTGGGAAGGAGATGGACTGTACTGAACACCCTGGGAAGGAGATGGACTGTCCTGAACACCCTGGGAAGGGGATGGAGTGTACTAAACACTCTGGGAAGGAGATAGACTATACTGAACACCCTGGGAAGGAGATAGACTGTACTGAACACTCTGGGAAGGAGATGGACTGTCCTGAATACCCTGGGAAAGAGATGAGCTGTACTGAACACCCCCCTGGAACGGAGATGAGCTGTACTGAACACCCTGGGAAGGAGAGTGACAGCAGGGAGACCCAGACAACAGACATGGGCCCGCAGCAGGAAACGTGTGATGTGAACTTTCCCCGACCTGTCAACAAGTCCACCTCACAGGTACAGGAGAGCAAAGGTGATATGGGAAGGCACATGGTTAAAAAAACTGATGAAAAACCCTACATGTGTGGGGAGTGTGGGTACAGGACAGGTCATAAGTCTAGCATATCCCAACATATGAGAATCCATACAGGACACAAGCCCTACATATGCGGGGAGTGTGGATACAGGGCAACTGTGAGGTCGAGCTTGTCCCGTCATATGAGAACCCACACAGGTGAGAAACCCTACAAGTGTGGCCAGTGTGACTATTCTGCAGCACAAAAATGTCATTTGGACAAACATCTAGCAAAACACACAAGTGAGAAACCCTACAGGTGTGGGGAGTGTGGGTACAGGACAACTCGAAAGTCCCAGTTATCTCAACATATAAGAACCCATACAGGAGAAAAACCTTACAAATGTGATCAGTGTGACTATTCTGCAGCTCAGAAATCTTGCTTGGACCAACATCTAGCAACACACACTGGTAAGAAACTCTACATGTGTGACGAGTGTGGATACAGGGCAGCTCGAAAGTCTCATATATCTCGGCATATGAGAACCCATACAGGAGAAAAACCCTACAAGTGTGACCAGTGTGACTATTCTGCAGCACACAAATCCACCTTATCTAAACACATGAAAACACACGTAGGAGTTAAACTGTAGATGCTGTGTCTATGTTCGAGAGGACCACAGTCATGCCCAGAGTTCTGTTTTAAAGAAAGAAATTAAAACAGCACGTTGTACAGGTAGACAGGACATAGCATGATTGTGAATACATACTGATTTCGTAAGTGTTTTGTATGCTTGAATGCTGTATATACCCCTACAAATAGTTTGCGGAGTGTACTTTGCAGTGGATAGAATACACCTGTAGACCAACAGCGCCTCCTGGCAGAATCAGTCCGCATTGAAGCTGCTGATAATTGCTGTACACAAGTCTGAATATGCATACTCTAGAGTAACAGGACTACTGAAATCTTCGGCATGGTCGAAATTTCGTGTCATACCATTGAAGAGTCAATATATTATGCTACTGTCAATGACTGCATGTTCCTACTTGTCCTACTTGAAATGTTGGGGAAGTCCTGACATGCCACCGATCTTGTGCCCTTGAAAGGCACACGACTTTCCTCACTTCGCTCAGGTGAATATGAGTATTGTCCTATCATGTATTTGTCCCCTGTGTTTGTGGCGGCATTAATATCAGTTGATAAAACTTGAGTGTGCCGTCACCACGTCTGATGATTACATGTTGGAATAAAAAAAACACTAACTTGCTATGTTGATCGGAATATTCTTTCTACAAATGTAGAAAATCTCAAGAAGTAAGTAAACGTTCAATCCTACTAAGATGGCTTTTAACATGAAGACATGTTGGAATCAAATTTATTCATTCCCGAGAGAAACCTGTCTTGAGACTTTACTGGAGTTCTGAGTGAAGCCTGTTTGAATTTACACCGAAGCCCTGAGAGAAGCCTGTTGGAGACTACGAGACTACTCCCAAGCCCCAAGAGAAGTCTTTTGGGGACTACACCGAAGCCCTGAGAGAAGCCTGTTGGAGACTACGAGACTACACCCAAGCCCCAAGAGAAGCCTGTTGGAGACTACACCGGAGCTCTGAGAGAAGCCTGTTGGAAACTACACCGAAGCCTTGACATTGGTAGGTACAAGGTCGCAGAGGAAACTGCGGTGAGAGACCACAGGCCAGGTTCAGGTCCACTGAAGCAATGGCCGCCAGACGGACTAAGATTGACAAAAAATAAGCACAACTAGATCTAGAAAAGCCGACATTTTCTCGGGAGCAAAAACAGCACATTTCAGTCCATTCGATCCCTCCCCATTCAAAAATGGACTGTTCCATATCAACCTGTTTCATCCAATATTATATAATATACCCTAATTTCGTAACAAGGTCACATCACACAATATTAATGGACGACCCCCGGGGGTCTATGGCGCGGGTATAAAAAAAAGTGCAGCGAATATTCTTGAAGACTGGGTAGAAAGCCTGATATGAGCGGCAGTCAGATGTAAGTTGTGCCATGTGCTGTACGTTTTAGACTGTACGATTTAAATTGTGAAGGTTGAGCAGTTCGTTTATACATGAGCCGTATTACGCAACTGGATTTCCGGGTGAGTCAACTGGATTTCAGGAAGAAAAGGAGGAGAAGAAGAAACATGAGAGAACACAATATGTTTCACATTTCGTGTGGTGAAGCCATTAATATGTTTTATGTACTTAATATAAGTCCTGCTTGGCGACCACGAAAGTTGAAACGACCTGAATCAGTAGTAGTAGTACCAACAACCCACTGCCCCTCCGGCCTGTAAAGGCTATAGAACCAGGTCCTTTAAAAATAGATAACGATACAATGTGAGAGCAATAACAAGATTTTAATTGTAGTAGCAATAAATATCGGCATATACAAAGTCAAAAAAATAACTTCAGTTGGTAGGGGTAGCGACAAAGGGAGGGGTATTATAGACGGGTCAAAATTTTAATCAGTACCCTCTGATTGGGGAGTAATTACTTCACTGAACATAACATTTAAAGAATTACAAACTGTGAAGCATTTTGAACAAGACCATTGTTGAGAACGGTTTAAACTGAGGACGTCTAGCTGAGAAAAAGTCTGTGCTGCTAGTAAAATAAATAAACATTTTGTAACAAACATTCACTCAAACAAAACTTTTGTAAATGCCTATAGAAAATGGTACCAACAATCTAGGGTTAATTTCCACTAGATTTACTAAGGCCACACCAATTTAGTTTGTTGGTTGTTGGATTTATTATTCAAACAACGAATTTTCAATTTTTAACCCTACCTAGACCGGGCTTTTTTTGACATGGGGGGACCGGGGGGGGGGCTCTTTTGACCCCCCCCTAAGAACTCGCGAACGGTATGTCGTATGACCACCAAATTTTCAGAGAATGGTGTACTAGTGAAAATTTATCATATCTACAATTTTTATGTCGTTATGACGTAATATGACGTCATTATGACGTCATTAATGTGATTTTATTGGCCAAAACCGTCCACGGCACAAAATCCCTAGTTTCCGTGTGAGAAATTGCCGCACACTTTCCCGGATATTTTAGGTTTCCGGTAGAACCCGGGGGTTTCCGACCTGCACACGAAACGTGTCCAGTCCCGTACATGTCCTGTACACTCCCGGAAATGAACCACTTTTTGTGTGCAGGTCGTGTACTGGACGTTATATGCCCGGACACGATCCCTGTACATCCCCGTACACGGCAGGAAATGGCCGTGCACCGCTCCGT